GTTACTATGGTCTGTAATGGTACCCTAAGGTAGTTACTATGGTCTGTAATGGTACCCTAAGGTAGTTACTATGGTCTGTAATGGTACCCTAAGGTAGTTACTATGGTCTGTAATGGTACCCTAAGGTAGTTACTACCCATGTGAAAAAAAATAGGGGTAAAATCAGATTAAAATCGATTACTGTTTTGATTAAAAATCGATTATAATCATACACCTTTTAATCGATTATAATTAGTTGCAATCGATTATAATCAGAAAATACAGTTATTCCGCTGCCTTAATCGATTAAAATCTATTACGACTCATTGTAATCAATTCCTAATCAATTAGTAATCGATTAAAAGGTGTATGATTATAATCGATTTTTAATTGATTCAGAATCGATTTTAATCAGCTGAAATCGATTATAATCGAGGCAACGGTTGTTTCCGAATGCCACTGATTAGAACCAATTTCAGTTGATTTTTTCTGTTGCTAATCATCTACAAATGAAAGAGTAGTCGATTCAAACTACCTGTAATCGTTTGAGATCGATATCAGGCACATAACAACATACAATCGATGACTTCCAGTAACGCTGATTTACAACGAGCAACAATGGAGTTATTTTTACTTTTCTGAAAGTATGTTGTGAAGATTTCATCAGGATTCTCTGAATGACATTATTCCAAAGTTTTACTTGCGCAACAAAACATACTTCTGCCTCCTTATTATTTGCTAAACGAACTGGTAATAATCCTCTTCTAGACAAAGTAACAGGTCAATCGAAACAATCGATATTAAGACGAAAATCAGATCTGAACATATTCCATTAGAATAAATGGAACCAAACAAAAAAAAACAATCGTTATCATAACGAGAAATGAGCTTGACTATATTCCATTGGAATAAATGGAACAAAACAAAAAACAATCGTTATCAAAACGAAAAACGAGTATGAACATATTCTATTTGAATAAAGGGAAAAAAACAGAAAAACATGCTTGACCCTATTCCATTTGAGTAAATGGAACAAATAAAATGAGTTTTTTTGAAGACAAAACTTATTATTAATATTCCTTTTGAAGCGAAAGGTAGGAAATAACGAGAAAGCAACTTAACTTTATATTAAAAGCAGATGGCATCTAACCTCACACAAGTTCAGTACAAACTATATGGCCTATATTACTTGTCATCAATGAAATTCCTTTAAAACGACGTTTTGATATAGAAAATATAAGTCTTGCAGGGGTGTGGCCAGGCTCAAAAAAGCCAATAAGAACAGAAATGAGTCTTTTTCTTCGCCCTCTCATTGATGAACTGCTTAATCTCGAACGGGGAGAACATTTTGACTTTCATGGCCAAGACAATAATGCTGTTACAGCACGCGTTTTCCTCATTGGTGCTTGCTGCGATAAACCTGCGCAGGCGCTTCTGCAGTTTTTACCAGAGCCAACTGCAGCTTTTGGGTGCGGGAGATGCGAAGTGAAAGGTTTCAAAATAAATTTCCATTAGATACAAACTCTAGAAATATGTTTTTTTTATAGGATTTATGGTAAAGACAGCTAAGGATGGTAATGAGCGAAGCTTTGCAACGACGTGTGCTGATTTGACGGAAATTCAAAGATGTTCAAACATGAGGTTCGACGTGCTACTGGATATAAAACTGCTGCATGATCAGCTACGTCAATCATTGCTAGGACGAATAGACAAATCATTGATGATGCAACACAAAATAGAAGAGAAGGGTATAACTGGACCTTGTATTTTTAGAGAATTAGCGTACTTTGATGTTGGGAATGGATTTATGGCTGATAGTCTACATAATGTATATATTGGGGCATTTGTACGTTGTGTTGCATCATTGCCGAAATGACATTTTCGTATTTCCTATCGTTTCAGAAAAGGACGTTGAGTCTCTGGTTGGATCATCAATATCGGTTTGGAGATTGGAGTATCAGTACTCATTTATATCGACTCCAGTCAATTTTTTGTGCACTTCGTCTCCCTTCAACAACATGCCGTTTTCCTCGCTCTCTCATATCATATTCGAAATTTAAAGCAAACGAAATGCGAGTATTATTGTTGTTTGGACGTGTTATCTTTAAGAATGTGCTCAAAAAGAAGTATTATGATCATTTAATTAAACTTATTGTCATGATGCATTTTTGTGAAAGTCGAAAAGTTCATCATTCATATATAAGTATCATTAATCGTCTTGGTCAAAGCTTTGTTATAGATTTCCCTACTCGGTAGAGTAAACGGCATTGTATACAAGTAGTCCACTCGATAATACATATCTCTGATACAGTGCGTGACTTTGGACCACTACAGAGCATAGTACATTTCAGTTTGAAAATGAATTGGGTAAAATTCAAAGTCACGATCTTGCTTTCCATCAATTTATCATTTTTCTTTTGTACGTATTCTCATGCGCACTCACAAAAGCACTAGAAGGCACGCTCAAGAGATGATTAATAATCTACATATGATGCAAGAGGCTCACTATCATTTACATACCTTGCCAACTTTCAATATAGATTTTTCAAGCTATCTTTCCTCTCGTTTCATCAATAGATATTGAATTCGTGGCCAGCAAAAGGGCCAAGTTCGTCATCCAAGCAAAAATCCTGATGAACTAGTGCGTGTCTTCTTTCCTCACTCAAAAATCAATTTTTATCAAACATTGCATATTGGGAAATTAAGATTATGCACACGATCATATGCAACGAACAAGATTACTGATGATTCAAACATTATTTTTCTTCTCGACGGTATTGAATATCCCGGCAGCATTCGAGCAATTTTTACTTTAGATAATGATAAACCTTATCTGCTAGTTGCTTATTTGCGAGATCTGAATCCACTCACTTGTGCAATAAATGTTAACGAAAACTACGCCTATCCTAATATACTTTATACGTCAACATCAAAATGGAATTTTCCTCCTATTGAAGTTAAATATTTTATTGAAAAGAGTACATTTTTCTGAATTACAGCCGGTATAAGTTATTTTCTCCGCCTTCCAACTCTTGAACATTGCTCTTAAAAATTTTACACAAAACCCATATGTAGCTCAACCTCTTTACTTTTGTATGTGACGGTTTAAAATAGGGGTGGCACTTTAACTTTAAATTGACCGTAAAGTGCAGAATTTAAAGTTGTTTAACGTCACAGTTCAATGCTTCTTCTCGGCGTTTTATCTGTTGCAGAGAGTCTCGCAAGCATGACTAAATACGTCAATACAGTAAAAAAGTATTAAAAAGAAGCGTTTAATGGCGACTTTAAACACTTTTAAACTTTTAACTTTACGGTTAAAGTAAAGTTAAAGTGCCACCCCTAGTTTAAATAAACCTTCTCAAAAGAGTAGAGAAAACATAACAAGTACTGCACTTATAATCTAAATTTCTAAATTTTTCAGATGTCACGTTTATAAGATTTAAACAATAATTTATTTTACGTTGCTTTAATCAGCAATGCTTAGTTTACTGAATAATTTTAACTTTTTCTTTTATAACACAACATAATCACAAAAGAATTATTGGTAATGACTTTTTTCATACGTTTTCTCAGTAATTACGAAAAATCAATAAAAATTGATTTCTGATCGTGACAGTTGTCAAAAAATAGTTTTTGAATCTAGAATCAGTACATGTCAATTTTCGTGAACTATTCTGTGGAAAAAAAGACTCATCATTGGATTTCTAATTTAATTATTTTAACCTGAATAAAACTGAACTCATTGTAATGCATTGAGAAGGAAAATTGGTTCTAATATATTATTAGTTTGTGGGAGTTTATTTTAAAAAAAATCTATATAAATGATTATAATCGATTCGATATCTGAATCGTTTTTTGTCTATTATAATTGATATCACTCGATTTTAATCGAATTCAATCTTGATGATTATAATCGATTCAAGATCTGAATCGATTTTTGTCTATTATAATCGAGGAAAAAATAATAAAATGCTGATGAAAATCGATTATTACCCAAAATCGATTCTAGTTGATTAATAAAAAAATCATAGACAATCGATTATAGTCCCTTTAATCGATTTTATGCCATTAAAATTAAAAAAATCGATTATAATTGATGAAAAATCTTTGATTCCTAACCCGCATTGAAAAAATCGATTAAAATCACCCATTTAATCAAAAAAAATCATAATTGCTAGATTTTCATCAATTATTTGGGGTTGGCATCGATTATAATCAGGAATATGTTGATTTTTCGCGTAAATGTTTTTACATGGGATATTAGTGTCTCAATTCGAATTATATAATTTCGAATTAGGATAAAATTTATCTTTATCTTTTGCCTGTGCACAATAGGATTTTCGGAAAATTTCATTTATATTCGAACTCGAATTAGGCAGCTACTCATGAATAATAACTTGTACATCAAACTAAATCAAATAGTACAATTTCTTTAATATAGCAGGCCTACAAATTACCACAATATTTGATTATAAATTACCAGAATCAACAAATCGAGTATAATGTTGTATTCTTAATAATATGAAACTCTTAAAATTTATACTTATTTTGAAACTATCATTAATCCAAACTCAATAATTATTCCTCTCTCTAACGATAAAAATTTTATACTACAGGCTAGTCTGCTACTATAAAATTCTGATTATTCCTATAATTCTAAAATTCTCATTATTCTAAAATTCCGATAATACAAGAACCGTGACAGATGTAGAATTTTTAAGTGTAAAATTTCATTATTAAAGGATGAATTAGAAATTTTATGAAAATTCTAGAATCTTGGAATAACGACAGGGCTCTCAGTTAGTGAGATAACTTTTATATAAATGATGATCTTAGGTCGATCTATTTGGTTTCTTGCTGTTGTTATCTGTTTGTAGTCATTATTTTTTTATATGCAAGGTTTAGCTTTTCTGCGCCATTTTCAAAGTAATTAGACGAGGAATCTGACAATCAGCTGTGCCTATTTAATATAGAACTAACTAAACTATCAATATTATTTTACTTGAGCTTAATTTTCATTATGTTTGCAAACGAGATGTAGCTTGTACCTGCAGTTCTATTGTAGCTGATAGATTGCTACTGATGAATGAAGAGTGTCTGTCTTAAGATGACTGAAGTATTGGTGAGACCAGAGGCCGTTTTCGCGAAGGACCCATCAGAATTGACATCATAAGTTCCGTCAGGATAATGAATGTGAAGTTTATGTTGTTTTAAAAATGCAAGTCGATAGGCAACTGCTCCTAAGTCTGCAGATCCAAGCTGTAGTGCCACTGGGAGACATTTTGCCGTTCCGGTGTCCACAACTTGTGGACTGGTCTCCTCCCTGTTTTTATTTTTGTTTATGTAATCGGCTCGATAGTATCGAGACACGAAGTCCCATGCAATGATATCCTTTTGAGCAATCATGTGTGGAAGGAGGTTCTTTCCCAAATGTTGCGAGTAGAGATTGTCACCGTTCGTCAAAATAACATATTGGCACAGGAATGGAGATTGTTCATGTTGATTATATAGAAAAGTGAGCGCACGATCCGTTATAATAAAGCCAAAGTCATTTTCTCCTGGTAAACCCAGACTGAGGAGACTGACATATGCCGCTCGAGATGCGAGTCTATTTAGCGAGTCAATTGTACGAAAAAGGAGCTGGATATCAATATTTCTATCAATATTTACTACATACAATCGTATATTATCGAAACCAGCATGAGCCAGGGCGAGTACTAGTACAGGCAAATACGTAATATGTCCCCTATGCACGCGTATAATAACGCAAAGTGTAATCGGTTTAACTCTTACTAAACTAAGAGATTTTGAGCTACCAGAGTAATTATTAGTATTTATCGAGGCATGATGTAAATCAAAGCCGTTCAGCTTTATGAAAATCAAAACTATTCCTATGCTAATACTGATAACCAAAATCCTTGCTCTTATCGTTGTCAGATATTGGCCAATAATTAAAACGATTTGATTTACCATTTTTTATATTATTCGTATATCCTTAGATTCAAGTCTTTATCTTTCTAATCGAATCGAAGAGTAACAGATTTTATAGCCTAAAAATAGCTTATCCAATTAAATCCACCCATGATAGTTGTATTCTGTCAATAGGATTGAATATAATTGTGTTCGAGTGCCGTTTACCTACATGTTAACCTTTCTTTTGTGAAACACTACCTGAAAGGAGTGTTGAAGTGTTTAGGGTAAAAATTTTGCACCCTCCACCCACAGACCGTTATCGACAGGTAATTTACCCATCACAGACCATGGTAGGCAGCTTAAGAGACCATTGGAAGCCGTGACCGACGCCTAAATTACTTAGTTAATTAACTAATTACTATGGAATTATTTAATTGACCATCACAGACTGTTACCCAGTGAAAAATATTCGCTGATTTCAGTCGAATTATTTTGCAACAAAACCCAATCCGTAATCGGATTGATAATTTTGATTATAATCGATCGTCATTTAACCCAAACTTGATGTTATTGCTAGTTCACTGAAAATTAGTTTAATTGA